TAAAACAAGCAAAATTTCTAGCAAAAGAACGTGAAAGACTTGACATTGATAACCCCATCAAATTTAATGGTGGATATATCAATCGAGTAAAGAACTCTAGGGCTATAACCCTAACCCAAGAGCGACACTGCAACAACCTACAACTTATTAGTCCAACGCCAATTGACATCACTGGTTCCAGAGGGCAAGTGAGACACTCAATATCACAAAAAGAGCAGTTTTTTGCACAACGAGCCCGAGGGGCTTACGTTGCCAGCATGTGTCAGCCCGAATCATCCTTCGACTGATCCACGGCTGCTCAAGATACAAATCCTGACCACAAATGTGTTAATAAGTTGAATTCCAGAATAGAATGGCAAATCAAAAACGTCTCGAGGGGTCTTAAGTTTGTAGAACTAGATCTAGAGTCTCTGCAACTTATCATTTTCACCAACTTATCATTTTCACCAACTCCTCCTTCGCCAATAATAATGATCTGTCCTCTCAAATAGGTTTCGTAATGGTTCTTGCAGACAAGAACAATAAGGCCAACATAGTTCATTGGTCGTCAACCAAGTGCAAAAGAATCACAAGAAGTGTCTTAGCAGCGGAACTTTACAGAATGGTGAACGGATTTGATATTGGCGCATCTATCAAATCAACTCTCGACGAGATACTAGACAATCAAATACCTCTTGTTCTGTGTACTGACTCGAAATCCCTGTACGATTGTTTGGTTAAGTTGGGAACAACACAAGAAAAAAGGCTTATGATAGATCTCATGTGCCTCTGTCAATCCTACGAAAGAAGGGAAATAGCTGAAGTTCAATGGATCAAAGGAAGTTCCAATCCTGCAGATGCTATGACAAAGGAAAAACCTTGCCATGCACTCAAGGAACTTATTGATACAAATTCAATATGTGTCAAACCAAATCAGTGGGTTGAAAGATAAAGAAAAATCTAGTATTAAGATAGGTCGTCTATTTTTTTCATTTTCTCGTTTACCGCCAGTGTGTGAACTGGCTCACAACATGTTATGTACAAGGGTCGAGTTGAGACTTTTCCTTATAGGGAATAGCGTTTAGCTAAAGGTAACAATGTATTTATAGAATTCCTCCCGGCAGGGAGAAGAAGCAGAAATGAATTGAGTAACCCCACACAAGCTTGTGAATTGACCATTGGTAGTGTTCCAACAGACACAAAAGAGTCCAATTGAGCAGCAGAGAGATCTGAGGGGTAGATTATCACAGTTGCACGAAAGTTAAGATTACAATTGTCTCTTCCAAGCAATCTCTGGTCGTACTTTGTGCTGGCAGCGGTAAGGATTCTTAATTAAACACCGAAGAAAGCTTTGGGATACAAAAAACCTTTCGAGCTAGTGACGAAAAGACGACCAGATCTAATAGGCTATCGAATTCCTGGATCGAAATGTTATGTCACGAAGAAAAATGTTCCAGGATTACAGAAGCAAGGGACTCAATCTGATATTGGATACTAAATTTCTAACTCAGCAAGAAAGATATCAATTATCTGGATGCCCTATGGTAATAAAGTTATATCATCAAGAGATGTTAGGGTTGATGAAATGTCACATTAAAATTGTGAAAATGTAAGAAACCATAATATTATTCCTGTTTTTGAATATTGTTTTGTCAGCATAGAAAATGGGAATCCTATGGATCAACTTCTCAAAGATGTCATTGAAGAATCACCAATTTTTACAATCAAGCCAATAATGAAAATATTCAGTCAAATTCCAATCCTTTATCAGAGTCAACAGAAAAAATACAAACTGATTTTAGTGGGAATTTCCCAACACCAAGGGACACACCCGAAATTTCAAATGAAGAGACAATTTTCAGAGAAACATCTCATGAAAGAGTCGAGGAATCAGAAGAGAATAAGCGACCTCATAATCGAAGACTTACTGAAGAGCAAGTTCTTGATAGGCTACAAGAAACGTCTCGTGAAGTCAGAGCTCGGCAAAGAAATCAAAGGAAAGAAAATCTCAAATTTTATACCGAAGTTCCCGATATAGACAGTGTTCCCATAAGTGATCCTCTCGAAAATATTTATTCATCTTTTGCGGTTAGCCAGAATGGAAGACTCCGCATCGATCAAATTCAAAAACCACCATCTTGATGGGAAACAATGCTAAAACTGTTACAGCTGACCTGAGGATGATACGGGTCTCTAAGAAGAAGTTGTATTTGGACATTAGGCTACAATACGTAGGTAGGAGAAAAGACAAAGAGAAAGGAAGTGATGGGAGCTACAAGCTTGAGGTAAGCTCGATCGCGGCTCCACATTAGTCCGGCCTGCATCCCTGTTATACATTATCATGTGATCCCGGATTCTTCCACCAGTCTACCTCCAAGTGCCCTAGCAAGTCCAACCATTTCAAAAACATCCAGAATCATCTGGATTCATCAGCGCAACCAATTTGGAAATACAATCAGAAGAAGAGAAAGGCACATGGATAGAGTTACCTAGACCTGCTAGTATTAAAGTCTTATCATTAAAGTGGGTATTTACCTATAAATCGGTTGATCAGGGTTTTTTAGTTAAGTACAAAGCTTGTATCTGCGTTAGAGGAGATCTTCAACCCCACGCAGGAGAAGATTTATATGCTGCAACAGGTGCGTATCGGACTTTTCGGACCTACATGGCTATTGTCGCAGCATTTGATCTGGATTGTGATCAAATGGATGCCATTAACGCTTTTATTAATGCTCCGATTGAAGAGGACGTTTATGTTTATTGGCCTTCGGGTTATAAAAAGAGAAATACTGTGCTAAAATTACAGCGAGCATTATATGGATTAAGAGTTTCGCCAAAACTTTGGTTCGATCAAATCTCTGGGTTCTTAGCAACAATTGGGTTTGAATATTCTCATGAGGATCATTGTATAATGATCCGTGAATCACTAACCATTGTGATTTTCATCTATGTTGATAATTTTCTTATAGCCGCTCCTAATAATCTGAGAGCACATATGGATCAGATAAAGTTATCAATTGATGCAAAGTACGAATTACGTGACCTTGGAGAAGTCAAGAGGTTTTTAAATCTTGATATTTGTTGCAACCGAGAAAAACCCATAATACATATCTCCATGGCATTATATATTGATAAAATTGTGACTCGATTCCATCTTCAGCGTGCACGACTACCAAATGTTCCACTTACTGGTAAGAAACTGCTTCCGTACAACGGTGTTGCAACACCAGAACACCAGAACACCAGAACAACGGACAGCATATCAGCAACAAATAGGTAATCTTATTTATCCTGCTGTTGTACTCAGACCGGATATATCATTTGCTGCAGCTATGTTGGGTCGGTTCAACCAAAATCCGAGTCCTGATCATATCCGAGAAGTAGATCATGTTATTTCTTATCTTGCAGCAACCAAATATGTGGGTATTCATTATAATGGCAATATACAGCCAGAAGATTTGATGGTAGCTGCCAGTGATGCCAGTTTTGCAGATGATAGTACTCGAAAATCAACCCAAGGTTTTTTGATAAAATTATTCAGAGGACCAATTACATGGCAATCCACACTCCAGCAAACAATTGTTTTATCTACCACCAAAGCCGAAATCATGGCTCTAACCTCGGTTGGTTGCAAAATCATGAGTATAAAACAACTATTCATGTTAATCCGTTTTGACCCAGAGTGCAATACCCCTTTTGTCAGTAAAAGGATTATACTTGGGCATTATGAATTGTTCTATGTAATTGCGGTGTTAAGGATGTCGTTAGGACTTTGGCAGGGATCAGATTTAGCTCATTAGCGAGGTGCTTGGAGTAGAGGAAGAAAGGGCAGAGGGAGAAGGAAAGAGGAGACAACGTTTTATGTATATTGAGATACCAGTTAATTGCCATTATTCACCGACTTCGTGACAGCACCCAATTTGTATTACTTCTTGTTTTACCAACACCTTTACTCAGCAATAACCAACACATATTAGGGTGCATTAATAAGGATCATCCACAATTAACAACGAAAATGCAGAACATTGACATTCATCATTTAAGCTTACGGTAGGAGTCGAAAAAGGGTATCATTGCAGTATTATGGGTACCAACAAACTATCAGCCAGCTGATGGATTCATCAAGCCACTTGGATTGCAAAAACATAACAACTTCATTCAAAAATTGGGATTATGTGAATTGGAATAGCTTGATACCTGAGGGGGTATGTGAAAGTTAAGTTATATTCAGGCATTCAAGTTGGTGTCTCGTCTAATTCTGTTATTTTACAATCACGGGCTTATTGTTTTTGCAGTTGTTTTGAAGTTGTTATCTCCGCATAACAAAATAGAGTTAGCGTTTAAACGTCGCTCTGGATGTATCGGATTGAGCTGAGGTAGAAGTTGGATCAAATATGTTTATTAGATATATAGAAGAGGTTCTGACCTTGAAGAAAAGAAGGAGGATAGACAAATTTATTTTACCAAATGCAAACCTCATTTTTCCTAAAAAGTCTAATACGCAGCCCCCTGAAAGCGAAATCCTATATACAGTATATACTTGTGAGGAAATTAACGCGGAACAATCCGAATGGGCACACAAACTAGTGAAATTGCACCCAGCACCTATCGTTCGGTCATGCGTAAGCAGTGTTAGAGCAGCTAGAGCGAAATCCCGTGAGTATTTACAAGAATCTAAGGCTTTGATCAGGCCTTTTGCAGTAGGAGACTGGGTACCTAGAGTTAGGCAAAGAAGAAACAAATTTGAGCCTTTCTATGACGGACCTTGGGCTATCTCATCCTGTCATGCCAAGAACACATATTCACTTATCTCGCCAGGGGGATACAAACCGGTAAACAGATATGACGGGACGAACTTATTCCCGGCGTACGTTCACAATGGACAACTGGTTCAAAGTGTATGGTACGGCAGCCGGAACATGTTAAATCTAGATAGACAGAACATTAAGAGGTCAATCAGACTTTAATCTCGATAACCCCCTAAACCCATAGACAACAAGCTGAGGACAGCTCCAAAGTGGGAAAGGGAATTATTAAGGTTCCAGGCTCTAATACCATGGATCGTCCGTGCACCTAGCGCCACGCCGATAGATAAAGTCCGGACACAATCTAACAACACCAGGAGTAAGCATGAGCGGGAAACAGTAGAGCGAGAGGCCCATGGGAATAAAGATAGTGGTAGCCAGTGGCAAGGGTGGCGCGTACATGAACTAAGGATTGAGCGCCGGCATATGAAGAGTATCAAATAGGCACGGTTCGTAAGTACAAATAGAGCACGAGGTAGTAGTTTAGAAGTAGGAGGAAAAACAACAAGTCTACATAGCTTTCTATTGCACATATAGCATCGCCGACATTGAAGCACCGGACAGTCGTAAACCACCAGTCACATTCATATAATGTTTCATTGATATGATTGATCATCTGTGACTGTTGTGATATCACTCGTCAATGACCGGCTCTGCGCCGACAGGTTCACATGCACGTCGTGCGTTGACCATGGATACAACCGCTGCCGCTCCTGAGTCTCGGACTTGGGAGCGCCGGGTTGAGTCATTGCAAGGCAACGATTGGGGTAGCAACGGGGAGGATCTACTAACCACGTGCGCTAGCCATAAGCGGTTAGACATTGCCGGACAATTACGGAATAGCGCCCTGAGGTATATGCAGACCTCGCACGCTACTGGAACCATACAACTGCTTCCGCTCCTGAGTAATGGACTAAGGACTGCGGAGCTGAGACATTTTATGGGATCGATTGGAGCGACGCTGTGGTGTGCACACAAACCACAGGCGCAAACCATGGACTAGATTGCTGTCGTTCCTGAACAGCTAGGTTCAGGATTTCTCAGCTGGGATATTACACATAAGTGATTGAGGCATTGCAGCGACGCGTACTCGGACCGCGCGCGCCAGCCACCGGAACAGCGGATGCCTCTCATGAGAGATGGACTCATAAGCTGCAGAGTTTTACCCAGGCACGCTTTTTGCAGTAAGTCAGGAGAGAGAGCGTAGACAATGACAAGGGTCATATTAGAGTAAATAAGTAGTCTATGTTCTGTCTCATGTACAGTATCGGAAAAGTATCGGACACCTGCCAGCAATCACATTACCAAGTATCAGACCATCTGAACAAACGTTGTGACACATTCCAAGTAACTATGTTCCCATTTAACTCATAACCTTAACAAACCTCTCCTGATGACAAGCAACCATGAATCCTCCCTAATATAATATGAAATGCCTGGGGTATATCCATCTGTATCTCCCTTTCTTGTAACAGTCGACGCCGACTTGATCCAATCCACCATCCCCGTATCGGGTGCTGGGTACGCTCCGGAAACTCGTCGGATGGCTTTGTTAAAGTTATGAGCTTGAGCAAAGATGGAGGTTGTAGCGGAATCAGTGTCGGCAGTTAGACTGATGCAGTAAGTCTCGTATGAGGTTGTGAGAAGAAGATCCGAGTGGAAACAATTGTATTTAGATGTATGGTTCAGAGTAAAACCGAGATGATAAGAGTGAGATTGCGTATTCGCATATCTTATCAACTGTGGTTTTTGACCAGTATTTATCAATCTCCATGGATCGTAAGTTATGATCCATGTAGATGTAGATCTATATACATACACATATATGGGTCAGGAATATAAAGCTAAATACATGTGTGTTGGGAATAGATACGAGAAAGCTATAACCTGCATTTAAGACATAGTCATCTGCTGGAATTCTAGTGTGAAATAAACGCTAATGTGAATTAAACTTTCGGTGAATGATGTATTGATAACAATGATATAGAGTGGGAAATTTGATAGTCAAATTAGCCGGACTTACTAATAAGTTATTCTTGGCATTCCAAGATATATCATATTTCAACAGGCTTTTCCTCCATGATCAAGGGTGGGTAATGAGTAGAGCTCCGACCCTACCATCTAATCTGATCGTGGTTAGCTTCATGATAATGGTGATAGGGGAATGTGTTGAGAGATGAAGACGATACAGACCGCGAAAGCGATTGGGAATCCTCGTCGAAATGAGGACTTTGTTACTAAATCTTGCCTCTGCAGTCCCTACAGTGAGAGCTGGAGGTTCATAGGGGACACCGCTGACAGGTGTTGAGAATAGTCCCCCAAGGGAGGAAAGTACTACGAAGACTAAATTCTGATTTACTCAATACCGCGCGTTACGTGAATCTATGCATGACTTGTCCTTTGGCCAACTCCTTAATCCAGCATGGATTTGCACTCTAAGTCTTCCTGATAGATGAACTGGATAAATTTCGGATATAACTGAATAACGCACCATGTTAGAATATGATTCCTCTGGACGGGTAATACAGTAGTACTGTTACTGGAATATTTGGAAGTAGATTTGATAAAGTATAGGGTTAAATCGTTGCGTGTGTCTTCGTCTCTACCTCTACGCGCTTAATAGAAGTAACGCGACCTCGCACCCTCTAATGTATCGCTCCTAGTCTCATCCACACGCTAATATGTAACTACTAATACAGGGTATATAAAATCAACAGACGCCTTACCCTTTTTAACTCCTAGGCAACCAATAACCACAACCCTAACTCCATTATGTTAAATTGTAGGGATGATTATGTTTGACCAACCCTTCTTATAATTTAACACACCAGCCTGTAACACTGAGTCTCTGAATATGAATGACTAATCCTAATCGTGTGAGGACCTACGAAGGATGAGCAAAATAGAGCTTACTGCAAGAAGTAGTGACGGGCAAGTCATAGATTTTGCTAACTAACATGTTAATCTATAGAAAAAGCCTAGTGATTGGTAGTATACTTCTTAAGGGCTGTAGAAGCTGCCAAATATTAAGTACGTTAAGACACAAACTACATCAATCTATCTAGCACTAGATAGTGGGTGATAGGTCATAGAAATATCTGCAAGCTCGAGAGGTGAAGGAAAGTTTTGTTGTTTGGAAATTTAATCGGAAACATTTCCTGCTTCTATTTCATCTGAAGTTTTGGCCGTATCCCAATACCAAATAGCGCCCTATTGCGTTTACCGATTGAATCTTGGCGTTCCCTAGCTCAAAGGACACTCCAACCAACTATGTGAAGAGTATTCAAATACCATGATCGTGTTTTGAGGCCCAACAATTTGGATCAAGTAGTCGACCCGGCCTAGTTTTAGAGAAGAACGGTTAGTGACAACAAAGAAGCTGGGAATTCAATCTAACCAGTTGCGTCTTTATTCTTCGAAAAACGATGTGTCTTGTGCACCTGTCTATCTCCGTACCCTGGGTCGTTCTCATACGCTTGATCTGCAGTGGCATATCTTGCTAAATCGTCGATTAGAGCCTTGCTAAGTGGTTGGCTTCTATAACATGTATAAACCTGCGTTCCGAGAGCAGCAGGCACCAGGAGCAGAAGGCTGGTTATTGCGCCTGTGGAAGCTGCACCAAGAAACTTCATTTGGAGGATGGCTGGCGCACGAAGCTAAATTTTGCACGAGAACAGTAGGGTATCTGATTTATTGGGCCACACACTGTCTAATGTTTGTCGCTGGTGAGTTTGGGCTTTTTTTTCGCACCGATGGTTCTATTGATGAGTATCAAGCTGAAGTTGGCGGATATCTACGATGTATTTCCTGCAGAGATTGTGAGTCTGCCAAAACTCTTTGAAGGGGTCAATTTCTGAATACATCAACATAATCATTTAGAATGAATTGATCCTTCAGCATCCTTGCAGCATCTAATATCACTTCCTCCAGTCGCATAAAAGACTTAATCTCAGCTAAAATGGTTTCTATTAGCTCATCAATCGACTAGGGCGACAGTCATTTCCAAAAGAGTGATTTATTATTGGGCCGAAAAGTTGTATTGGCCAGATTCCGTGACACGAAAGATTATTTCGGTATTATTTCGTAATTATTTCGGTATTCTTTCCATTTTACTCTTTATTGTACTTGGCAATCCTACGGAGCCCGAATCTAGGATCGTCGTGATTTGCTCCTTACAATTCCCTACCTGACTCGCCAGTCTTTTCTAATCAATCCGACTTTCACCATTGCTAGAACTCACTGTAAATACGCCAACGAGCAAAATTGGTCTACAGTCTCGATACTCACGGGTCGACCGAGCCAAGCAGCTGAATGGGATTTTGTAATAATTGGCGAAAGGTAAACTAGAGCACTGGAAAAAGTAAATGGAGAATTCGACCACTGATTATCTATTTGCCGTGTCGACAAATCTCGTGTAGAAATTTTCTCCTCACACAAAGTCGAGTCTAATTTCTGATTGAAATCCAGACTTTGTATGTATTAAGGTTTAGATTTCTAGATTTGATCATCAAGATCATTTAGATTGATTCGATTGCGACTGATTAAGCTTAGCTAGGCGACATGTTGTTCAGTGGTATACAAAATGCAGTGGCTTGGAAATTCTGCCTAGCAATAATTGAGTGGCTGGTTGTTGCCAGATTGATGTGAGCCTAGGAGTCTGTATCAAAGGATAGACTCATTTGTATATGTTAAACTTCTTGACGGGATATTACACATCATTAATTCACAATAGAAGAGAGTTTGATATGCTAAGTAACTATCGTCAAAGTCTTATCTGAAATCGTACACTTGTTCTCCGAGATATTTCGTCCTAGAAATCCTTGACAAGTTCTAACAATTCGCAAAACCGAAGAAGTTGGTTCACAAGGCAATGATTCATAGTATCTGACCAGGTCCGTTTTTCGCTTATGACGAGATAAGTTGCTACAAAAGCCTCATCAAACCTGCATACACGGCAAAATCTCTCATAGAGACGGCTTTCGACATTGTGCGATCTCCAAAACTACACCTATGGCGATATTAACCCGAAGCAAGAGACAGACTTGAGTGGCAGGTCCTAGACATGGACGCGAAAGAGATCAGGACAAGTGTACTAGAGATGCTAATTGTGAATATAACCTTGTAATAGCTGTTATTTCGAACTTTGGCGAGGAATTCTAGAAGTTGTAGAGCTTCGTGCTCGCCACGTCCTAAATAGCGACAGTCTGGAATTGAGTGCCCCTAGCGTCGAAACAGTCATTCTTCATATAAAGATAACATTGATCATATGTCTAGCTAGATGGCTGATTATATATTAGTTGATTAGAAAAAATTGTGATAGTGCAGGTAACACTGTAAATATTGTGATTGTATTTTGGACCTGGTGGTATAGTTTATAACAGATATTTTGTCTAGCGGGCGAAAGAGAACGCTATTGCCCCATCTTAGAGGGGGACAGGGTGACAGCTTAAAAAAAACCTACATTTATTAACAGTTGGATGCCGTGAGGCCTTGAAAAATAATTTCCCCTGGGAAATGGTGAGGGCTTTGCAGCGTATTCCTCACCTTACTAGATTAGACGTTGCGGAGGGGGCACATTTCACATAGAAACTCGGCCTTCTCCAGTATAGAGGCGAATCGCTTAGCACCACGGGAGGTGTCGAGAAGAAAATGGAGAGACCCCAGACTTTGTTGGAGACGGGCAGAGGCCAACCTCTCTCGAACGAAGGGGCAAAAAACTAAGTAGGCGATTGACTGGTCTCCGTCGCAGGAACAAGTAATGAGGGCATCTTCGTGTCGAAACCTTTCAGGATAAGCACAAAAGTCACAGTGTCTTGTCCGACATTGAAATAGATACCCGAGAGGCTTATAACAGATAGAGAGTGTACTCTAGAATGAAGTAGTGGCACGGGTAACGGACCATTGCGACGATACTTTCGAGTGCTGTCCGGAATTTTTGCACTTCTATATGTCTCAATTGTGTGGTTACTTTTAAATTACTGATGATAATTACTTGTTATATCTATCTACAGAGGGAATTATTCTTCACACAAGTCAGTAGTGTTCCCTGTAGATCTCCAGCTCTCACTGTAGGGACTGCAGAGGCGAGATTTAGTAACAAAGTCCTCATTTCGACGAGGATTCCCAATCGCTTTCGCGGTCTGTATCGTCTTCATCTCTCAACACATTCCCCTATCACCATTATCATGAAGCTAACCACGATCAGATTAGATGGTAGGGTCGGAGCTCTACTCATTACCCACCCTTTATCATGGAGGAAAAGCCATCCGACGAGTTTCCGGAGCGTACCCAGCACCCAACACAGAGATGGTGGACTGGATCAAGTCGGCCTCTAATATTATAGAGAGGAGATATATAGATGAATAAACGCACCTCACATGGCTGGGGCTGCAGGATTTTTGAGACTTTTTCCCGCGCACGCAGTTTCTATTGCTACCATTTTTATTTTTATTTTTTGGGTAGTATGTTCCGTGGAAAAGGTAGTCGAATTCCTCGGGTAAACACTGAGCTGAATGGCTATTCATCAAGGGCGATATATCAATGATTTTTCAAGAAATATGAGAGGCAAGGAGCACTGTACAAGGTGTGGTCTGGGTCAGAGAGGGGGAATTGTACTAGATGGTCATAGACTCAAGTAGTGGTACAATGAAAATACATCTCTCTCAACTTGGAAGACCGGACAAGACAATGAACCGCTGCACCATTCAACCATGGCGGTGTTTACAGTGTCAGCTTAACCCTCGCAACCGAAGTCTCGGCACGTGCAAAGCTCAGTTGGCAAAACCCCTTACTCAAATTCAAATTTTTGGCACATGTCAAGAATGTGCGAAATCTTTGCATCCTCTTGTAAACTAATCCTGATATCTCTCGCGCACATTTCAATGAACAGTCGCCTAGATTTTAGCGGTACGCTTTGTTTCCTCCATCGCGTATAAACATCGGGGTGGGCGTTTATTTAGATTTCACACAGCGTCAGGAGCGTAGGAAGGGATCGCGTTCCAAGAGTTCAAAAATATAAAAGTTCGCCATATACCGAGAATCATTATTTTCCAAAGAGTTCCTACAATTAAAAGACCATAAATTACCGCGCCAAAGCCACTCCAAGCGCTCATTATATATTCCTCTCTATTGTTATCGAACTATCCAATGTGCCCTCATCAAGAATAAAATAGAATGGTGTAGAGCGGGATAAGGTGGAACAGAACGGGTGGATTTGGATAGTAAAGAAAGAAACACAAAAGTGTAGAAGATTTTATAATATAACAGAAATCTTCAAACTTAGTTTCCATCTCTTCCGATAAGTCTCTCATTCTGTGACAAGCAAGGCTGGAAGCTGAACTATCGAGGGATTTGGCCATTGAAATGAGTATCCACTAGGCCGTGTACAGGTTTGATGGGGCTTCTGTAGGAACATATCTCGTTTGGGAGGAAGATTGAGCTGATTATATGTCGTCAATCGTTGCTGGAAATCTTACTTCTTCGGGTTTGCCTAAATCCACTTGGCTTGGTGTTAGGAGATAATTTCTAAACGAGATTTGTTGACACCGTAGATAGTGGCTCAGTGATCAAACTCCCCCTTTCATTTCTCCAGTTTTCTAGTCTACGGTCCTTTGGTCATTGCAAAATGTCATTCAGCTGCTTGCCTTGGCCGACCTGTGAGTATCGAGACTGTAGACCAATTTTGCTCGTTGGCGTATTTACAGTGAGTTCTAGCAATGGTGAAAGTCGGATTGATTAGAAAAGACTGGCGAGTCAGGTAGGGAATTGTAAGGAGCAAATCACGACGATCCTAGATTCGGGCTCCGTAGGATTGCCAAGTACAATAAAGAGTAAAATGGAAAGAATACCGAAATAATTACGAAATAATACCGAAATAATCTTTCGTGTCACGGAATCTGGCCAATACAACTTTTCGGCCCAATAATAAATCACTCTTTTGGAAATGACTGTCGCCCTAGTCGATTGATGAGCTAATAGAAACCATTTAAGCTGAGATTAAGTCTTTTATGCGACTGGAGGAAGTGATATTAGATGCTGCAAGGATGCTGAAGGATCAATTCATTCTAAATGATTATGTTGATGTATTCAGAAATTGACCTCTCCAAAGAGTATTGGAAGACTCACAATCTCTGCAGGAAATACATCATAGATATCCGCCAACTTCAGCTTGATACTCATCAACAGAACCATCGGTGCGAAAAAAAAGCCCAAACTCACCAGCGACAAACATTAGATAGTGTGTGACCCAAGAAATCAGACACCCTACTGATCTCGTACAAAATTTAGCTCCGTGCGCCAGCAATACTCCAAATGAAGTTCCTTGGTGCAGCTTCCACAGGCGCAATAACCAGCCTTCTGCTCCTGGTGCCTGCTGCTCTCGGAACGCAGGTTTATACATGTTATCGAAGCCAACCACTTAGCAAGGCTCTAATCGACGATTTAGCAAGATATGCCACTGCAGATCAAGCGTATGAGAACGACCCAGGGTACGGAGATAGACAGGTGCACAAGACACATCGTTTTTCGAAGAATAAAGACGCAACTGGTTAGATTGAATTCCCAGCTTCTTTGTTGTCACTAACCGTTCTTCTCTAAAACTAGGCCGGGTCGACTACTTGATCCAAATTGTTGG